AAACACAGGGCTTTCTCAAGAACTGGACTTACATATTCTTGAGGTATTATTCCTTATGTGTGTTATTTTCATACTTGCATTTTCAGTTGCTGCTTTCTGTTGTTTTCTTCCACTGTTTTGTTTTATGCTACAAAACTACTTGATTAGATTTAGGAAAAGATGATGGTTTGGGATAAGATACATCTGTTAAAAAAAAAAAAAAAGCTAACCACAGAGCTCTGGTTATTTTCTAGGTTGTTAAATCCCACCAAAAGATATTGTAAGCATCTCACAATTTTACAGCCTTTTCTGTGAAATTAATACCAGACACTGTGGAGCAGAGTAGCTGTTACACATTCTGCTGTGTGTGCATCATCTATCATGTACAAGTTCTGCATTTTCTTTGAAAATTGTAGGATACATCCTGATAAATTAAATTTAGAAGAAAAAAAATGGACGTAGGTAAAGTCCATACGATACATTTATGTTGTCGAAATGTTCAGTAAGCTTGTCGTTATTTTTCCTTTTAGAGATGTACAAAACCGTTAATGTAGACGGATAGATATGGATGAGGAGGGTTGTGCTATGTACGGTGTAAAAAAGTGCTCAGTCTCGCATGAAAGTGCAAAGATCTCCAGACAAAAAAACAAGAACAAAACAAACCTGATAACTCTTAAGTTTCAAAACAAGGCGTTCAACTCTTCAATCAATCATTTTAAGCCCTTTGTAGCAATGAGCCGCATTTACATTCCTCTCTGCTGGAGCTCAGTAAGAACACTGAAGTCTGACAGAGTGATCTCATCATTAATCTTAGAAGCAGACATTTCCATGTAACACCAACATATATGTGGTTGCATTTTGTCCATATGCTATCAGTCAGAGGAAGCTGCGGATCACAGTAAAGATATTCCCTAATTGAATACATAAATGAGCTATTTTTGGTCGTAATGCAGCTTTATGCCTTTGGAGCTACACTTATCCCAGCATTTAGATCTAACAGTGGAGATAAACAGATCCATGTGTTGCGTCTGTGATGCCGCCAGTATGATGTCATAATTGAAACAAGACAGTGCAGAGCCCAGACAACACTTGAGGTGACCGGTCCCTCGACCTCTCTGCTCGGCCTTAAGTCTACACTTAAGTTATCTTCCTGTCCTCTTCCTCCCGTTCGTCAATTAAGAGTGCTCTCCAACCTTCAGATGTGATATGTACTTTACTGGCTTGCCCTTTAGATGACTTCCCAGAAACTCTCCGTGGCCTAACATTCTTCTGAATTTGTCCCAGGTGTGGACTGTGACCAGAGAGGTGGAATTCATGCACCATCACTCAGATTGATTGCCTCCTTCCTGTTCTGGTGCTTCTCTCATGCTGCTGGCTGGAGCTGCACCAGAGGAAAAAAAAAAAGTAAAAATGGGGGCGCATCATAGACCATCCCTCACAATAGTGCTGAGTGAGGGAAAGCAGACCCAACCGCTGCCACTACTCCCCTTTTCATCCCCAAACTTATTGCGCCGCGCTGTCGATGGCTGTATTAGACAGGCAAACTTCAAGCACGCCATTGCAGTGAATAGTTTCGGAGAGGAACGCAGAATGATGTCTTCCTGCCCTTCTTCTCTCAATCATGCCTCTGTGAACTCGTCTTATGGCTATGATTACAAGTTATTACCGCTCACTATCTTGGGAGCCATTTATCACTTGTGGGACCCGTGAGATCATTTCCTATTCGGAGCCTTTCCTGCCTTGTAACTGTCAAGCAACACTCCACTTCACCCCGCACTCGGTGTAGTTCAGCTCCTAGCAAAGCACAGAGAGCAACTTTTTTTAATATAATTGTTATCCTATCCAAGGAGAAAAAGGACTATCACATGAACAGTACTGTGCCAGAGGTGCAAGCACTTGATTTGTTATCAGTGGCTGATGTGTTTTTCTTTTGTTTTATAAGAAAAGATTGTCCAAGTGCCTGTCCCTTTCTCTGTATGTATAGATAAAAGGGTTGTGGTATTGTGTTTTATATGTGGAATACTGTTCTGCCTTGTAGGATTCTAAATTTAAAATAATAGTAATAAAAAAAAATACAAAGCAAAACACTTAAATTAAAAGAAGTCACTGTGAAAATGGTCATTTAAAGCTGTCATGGGGTAAAACTGAAATGCTTTTATCTACAAAATAATTGATGCAAAAACTTGCAAAAGTTTCAAAATATGCAGGTGAACTGTACAACTGAGTAAAAAGTGGTTTAAATTAGTTAAGGATTTTTTTATTTTTCAAACTTAAAAAGAAAAATGAACACGTCACAAAAAGGCAGGTTTGTTAAGTGGGTTAGAAGATTGTAGATTGCTATTCTGAAGGTGATAAATTAAGTTTACACATTTTTCTTTCAGTTTTTAACCAAAAACACTAATGACACTTGACTACACAATTTTAGATGCATAAAATATACCTGAAGAAATAAACAGTGGTAAACTAAAACTGCTTCAGTGTGGCCACGGAAACAAGGAGATGAACAAATGTGTAGAGGGGGGGGAAAAAAAAAGAAAAAGTCTCTCATCGTCATCCCTCGACTGACAGATCCTGCTTTAACTGGATTTGAGGAGTTAAGATAAATAATTTAATTTGGGCTTTCCATTGCGACGCGTGCGTAAATCCCACTTACGCACCTCGCAAATTCCGAAATCCACAGTTAATCCACAACATACACATATAATTTACAGATAGTCGAGCTGATGCACTTTGACAAAGAAGGCTTTTATATTTTCAGAGATTGGATGAATTTATGAGGAGAGAAGAGGCAGAAGAAGGAAATTAATGTCCTATAATGTTTGTAGATACAACAGTAAATTTGTCGGATAGTTTTGGTTGTGATCGACTAAGACGCATGATGACTTTCCATCTGTTGTTTAAAAACCTAAAGTTACGGTTTAAATGATTCCAAATGAGCCACTTTGGATGATTTATCATTAAAAAAAAAAAGACTGATTCTACAGAGAGACGGGGCCAACTAGAGTATAGCTGGTGGGTTTACTCAAGCCTTTGTGTTTTCGTGCTTCATAAAGGCTAAAGCATCGTGGCCCGAAGGCTGCTCTGCAAACAAAACTAGAACAGGCAACTTGAGGATTTGGAGAGTTGTCTAAATGTGAAGTGACAGGAGGGAGACCTTGGCTCCTTGTGGGACGCCAGCAACCCGGCACCAAGTCTGCCTTAATTAACAGAATCACAGCTTCTCCGTGAAGCAGCAGACAGTCACAGTCGGGCTGCAGTTCACTTCGAAATCTGCAATGATGATATTAGAAATAATAATAAAAGAAAGGAAAAAAAATAAACAAGGGCAATTTCACAAAAAGTTTAGTTTAAATTTACATTTCGGGTCTATTGGCTACTTGCGCAAAGAGCATAAAATGAGTCTTATTAGTAGTAGTAGCAGTCTGCTATTTTTACTATAATGACATAAATAAACGAAAAGTTCAACCTCGAAATAAAGTAAAGGCACTTCGGGCATCCATTCATGCTATGCTGCTTAGGCCTATATGCTATTTAAGCATCCTGACCCTGCGTGGCCCTAAAATCCAGCGATTTCCCTGCAGTGCGAGTGGCTGAAACCCCGCCCAGTGCTCGGCCATTGGTGGGGACAGTGAGGGGCTGTCAAAGAACTTTGTCTCATTAGTGTAGGCTACCATGTGCAGAGGAGGACAGACATGCTAACGCCTTCCCTTTGCCTCCCTCTGTCCCCACTGTATGTGCCATCGCAGTTTACCTTTAACAGGCTTTACGCATGGTGCCAAAGTGCGCTGCCCTCCTCGGTGGGTCGAACAGCGGATTCTTGCCTCTGCCCAAATATCTGGAGATTCGGGAATTTGCATTCGGTGTGAAGACCACTTAATCATGCTACAAAATCCACTTAAAAAAAAGTAGTTGCAGTTTGGATGTAGACGCCTGTGCGCCTGCAGGAAGTGGGTTAATTGAGATCTGCCTGATCGGATGCCCTGATGAGAGATCCAGTTGGCACAGCGGCTCCCATGGCTTACCATCCTCTCCGACCGGGCGCCTTGTCCTTGTCTGCCTTCCTCACCACCGCTCAGCCCTCGTTTTTTCCTGCGCTGACTTTCCCGGACGTCTCCTCTCTCTCCGAGCCCCTGTCGGGGCAGGCTGCGTCTGGCGGGGGGCTGCACGCAGCTCTGGGACGCCAAAGTCGCTCCTTGAAGAGCCTGCAGCCTGACGAGTGGCTGGATGACGACCCGAAAGTTACACTGGAGGCAAAGAATTTATGGAATGACTTTCACAAAATGGGAACCGAGATGGTCATCACGAAATCAGGGAGGCAAGTAAAACTACGATGCGTAATCAGGTTATCACTGAATTCATTTTAGTGCCAGTATTGGAGTCGTGCTGTATTTGAAATGGCATTTATTTGTACCTTCCAAAGCGACAGCACCAGATCTTGATTTTAAATTAAATTAAATTTTATTTTATTTTAAAGCAAGCAATCGGGTTTTTTAGCTGAAGCAGAAAATAACTATTTCAATAACACCGAGACAAATTCTTCAGTGTCAATAAACTAATACCAAACATGACGGCTATTCTGTCCATCAATTTACATTTGTTTGGTTGCTTTTGTGATTCCAACACTTGTAAATGTAATTCACTAAATGCATGGTTCAGTTCTTATCCAATTAATGCTATAAATCCTAATCTGATCAAACTATTAAACCCTCCATGTGGCTTCCGTTTAACAACACAACTATTGAAACATGCTCCGAAAACACATCTGTAAACTTATCATACATTTTCTAAAATACTATCTACTACAGGAGGATGTTTCCACCCTTCAAAGTGCGAGTAGATGGACTGGATGAAAGTGCGAAGTACATCCTGCTCATGGATATTGTAGCTGTCGATGACTGCCGCTACAAGTTTCACAACTCCCACTGGATGGTGGCTGGAAAAGCGGATCCGGAGATGCCAAAGCGCATGTACATCCACCCTGACAGTCCGTCCAAAGGAGAGCAGTGGATGAGCAAACCCGTTGCTTTTCATAAACTCAAGCTCACCAACAACATTTCAGATAAACATGGATTTGTAAGTCATTGGAAACTGCAGCCTAGTTTGCGCATGGCTTAAATGTTTGAGATAAACTGTCTTAAAAAAAAAAATAAAAAATCAGTTTAAAGTGCACTACCGTAACTTGTTCCAATATAATTTGAATTATTATTTTTACATTTGTGTGATTGCAGTTGGACTGGCTATCTAACAATATTTCTGTCTTTGATTTTTCCAGACAATTCTGAACTCCATGCATAAATACCAGCCCAGGTTTCATATCGTGAGAGCCAACGACATCATGAAACTTCCATACAGCACCTTCCGGACCTACGTTTTCCCTGAGACGGAGTTCATCGCTGTCACTGCCTATCAGAACGAAAAGGTACCTCCATCCTCCACACCCTCAGGCTCACGGGACACATATGTCGCTGCGCAAATTACGCGGCGCGCATTAAATTATACAGTGATGGGGAGTTTATTTGTAGACCTTAGGAAAATAACTGACCTGAGTTAAGAGGCGCATTTTAAAGTTATAGAAGGATGCTGTAAAGTTGGTTTTAATAGTCCAACATAATTTTCTGGATGCTGCGCATTTTCGTAATGGCTAACTTGCAGATCTTTTTCCATTCAGATTACGCAGCTAAAAATCGACAACAATCCCTTTGCCAAAGGATTCAGAGACACGGGGAATGGGAGACGAGAAAAGAGGTATTTATTTTAAAGCTAGGACACATCAAACTACCTGCTCATCACCTTTCCTCCCTTGTCAATAAACACAATCCCCTTTCCTCTGCAATATTTACGCACCATCCTGTACTTCTGCGTTAAAACTGGCATGTAAATATACAGTCCAGTAGATCACAGCCTATTTATTTACTTTTTCTATTCATATTCTGAGCTGCATTCATTACAGGAGTCATGTATTTTGTTAGTGTATGAATATTTAGCTTTTGTTTTTAGCTGACAAGCCAAAGTTCCCTACACACTTGCTGAATGAAGTGATTCTGATCAAAGTATTAGGAGATGCTTGTAGAGAGTTGTATCTAATGTCAGTTTGTGATCCGCAGGAATAAACTGTTTAGCACTTCCCCTCTGCACGAGAACCAAGGAAAAGCAGACCAGGACTGTGCTGATTCCGATGACTCCTGCGAGCAACCGGGCACCAGTGAGCCTTTTCATTCCCCTCAGGAACTGGTGACCAACCCTCTGATGTCCACCTCAACCTGTCCAGGTGGGTTCACCGACAGCATCATTAAGCAACATAATGACTTATAAAGTGTTCATCTAGCTCACTAGAGAGGCGACAGTCACTACACATAGGACATGTTTTCTAAACCACTCAACAGCCTTTTAGCAGCTCGTTTACAACTTGCAACTTCAAATGTGCTAAATGTTTAAAATAGTTTAGAATATTCAGAGACTGTTAGAGAATTTCTAATGTGCAGGGAAACCGTATAAATAATATGTTCAAAATTGCACTTTTTTGTAAATCAAATTAAAATGGAATGAAGCCTATTTATGTAGCACACTTTTAAAACAACCCGAGTGGACCAAAGTGCTGAGCACGCTCTAAGACAGGCAACAAATAGATGTGCAAAAAGGACAATAGGATAAAAACTTGTAAAAATAATACATAATATAAAACACTAAAAAAAACAAGGCAAAACAGGAAAAACAACCCATAAGATCCAATTCTAAAATAAAACACTGAAACATTAAAATCACTAAGAGAAACCCAAAGTCTTTGCAAACATCTCCACCCTTAGGATTTTTCAAAAGTGTCTTTACGTAGAAAAAAAGATCATATTTAGTGTTATGGAAAACTGCAACAGATTTGATTAGTGATGCAACATTTGTGACTATTTGTCTGTTTTGCTTTCCTTGTTTTGAAATTTAAGAATCCAAAACTTAAAAAAAAAAAAAAAAAAAAAGCATTTTCTCTGCTTTTCCCAAAAAGATAAGTCAAATTACACTCCTCAGCGTAAAGAAAATCATTTGTCTACAGTCTCTTAAACTAGCTCACGTTTCACTTTGATAAAAACAAACTGATCCTTAAACCACTATGTATTTATTTGTAATGCAGAAATTAATAAACTAGTATATGAGTCAACTTTGAGTTCACATTTACTTTTCTATTTTCTTTCCCTTCTCTCTTTAAATTGCAAAATTACCACATCAGGCCTTTTTCATTTCAATTTGTCTTAGTAGGAAAAAAAAAAGTGTTACTAATACCAGTAACGGTGGCTCAGCTCCGTCTGAACACAATAATTCATGATGGTGTGACTGTAAGTCAATGTGCTCAATGCCAAAGCCCTCATACTTGAAGCAGCAAAATGGAATTCAGCCATGCTTCATTTTATTATTTACGTCTGTGATTTTCCTGCTGGGACATTTCAGAATGTCTACATTTCATTAGTGTGACTCGACTTGACAAGGCTAAAACTACTCTGCTTAAATAAATCAGCTGTTTCTGCTGCCTTGGGGTTAGTTGCACATGAAAACTGTTTCATTAAAGGCTCGAGTTGTTTGCACAAAGTTCTCCTCTCAAAAGTCTGCGTCCACCGTGTCAAAGTAATGCTCGGAAGACCCTCCTTTTTCTTGCAGCTCTAAAGCTTTTCAAAATGTTGTTTACCACAGATGAGAACACTACGGGAAGTGATCCAGATGTTGATCTGCAAGACGATGGCGTATCTGACGCCGGCTGTTCCGGGACTGAACACACGCCGACTTTGAGTCTGAAAAGCAAAGAGATGCTGCAGAACTCGTCTGATCTCAGTCGGAGCGACAACAATCAGCATTCGGCGAAAGAAAGAACAATGTTTAGAACTCCCGGGGAGACGTTTTCTATGGAGATGGACTCTTCAGAAGGGCACATGAGGGAAATTAAAGACGGGGTCCTGCCTGTGACGTTGCAGTCGCGGGGCTCTTCGTCCCTCAGTGCTGGTCAATGTCACACTTTGGATTTCTCAAGCGTGCACAACCAGACGTTTACTAAGCTCGGCGCACCTTTGTTGTTTCATCCTGGACAGCTGTCAAAGAAACCAGAAGCTTTTTCCACTTTGGGTATGGGACATGTATTTTCTACTTTGCCCGGAGTAAGTGACTTAGACAACGGAGGCCTATCGTCGAGAAGCATCACCTCTTCATCTCCCTTCATGTTTCATCTGTCGCAGCACATGCTGGCGTCTCAGGTACGCTTCACCGGCAGCACCGCATTCTACTGTTACACATATTTTAACACACATTGTGAACAGATATAGCGAGCCGAGGCTGCTGGCTCCTCGTAGGGTTCGCCCACATACAGCAGCACTGCGTGTACTTTCTCTTCTCAGAGAAACATCTGCCACCACTCCAGGGCGAATAGGATTTCATTTGTGCTCATAGAATTACTGGGGGGGAAAAAAATAAAGTAAAAAACACTTTGAAAGTATCTTTCCAGAGAAAAATTCTGAGCTGATCTCTTGACCTCATTGTCAACTATTTATATTGGGACTGTTTCAGGTGAGAAGTGTTCACAGAGAGATCTCTGGATTACACACAGAAACCTTTTAATAATACTCAAAGTCGTAATTAGGGAGCAGCAGAATCTTCAGTGGACCTCTGAAACTTTGAGTGAATCAAACTGAAATCATCCACATTACTTGTGCCACGACCGATGGTAGTAAAGGTCCCTATGGAAGACCCTTTAAATGTTACCTCATAATAACGTACCAGCCTCCTACCAAAGCTGCAAGATCACGTTTTTAATTAACTCTTCACATTTGAGGCAGCAGGTACACAATTTACAGAAAGAAATGTATGCATATTTAAGATGACAACATACAATTACAGCTAATTGAGAGGTCCAGGATTGGTTTTGACCCCTCACAAGGATCATAAGATGACTAACGGGGTAGGGAATCGGCCATAAAGAAAAATCAGCATATTTTTCTGATTTTCTCTCAACGTAAAGTCGCTCCTCACCTGAACTGATAACAACTCATAGTTCCTGTTTTGTGTTAAGGTGTCACACACAAGAGATTTATGAACCCAGTTTATACCAAACAGCCATTCAACTGGTGCCCAGTGGGGTCTTTGAAGCCCATCATTCCTGCTTCCCCTATAAAGAATTAAATTTGGCCTCTTTAATCACCGTCTTGTGTTTCATGGAAAGCCTCTTGAGTTTTGTAAACAGCAGGTTATATAACATGAGTAACACAACCTCAGATGAAGTCTATATGAAGGTCAGCATATAGTAAAGCATCGCTGTTGAAGCCTCTCGTTACCCAACAGGATTTGATCAAGACCGTTTCTGAGGTCATTTGCTAACACCTTGGAAAATCATGTCTGTTTATAAAAAATGCAGGGAGATCAGAAGATCTGTGAAGTTGGTGTAACAGGAGTGCTAACAACCTGACTTTCTCATACAGGGAATCTCGCTGTCACCTTTCGGAGGACTGTTCTCGTATCCATACTGCTACATGGCAGCGCCGGGAGCCACCGGTCCAGCTCTTCCCGCCTGCTCCGCGACGGCGTCGCTCACCAGAAACCACCGTTACAGCAACTCTCGGCCTTGGTTGCGATTCAGCCCTTATCAGATCCCCACATCTGTCACGTCGCGCCAAAATCTGCAAGCGGCCAGATTGCTTGGCAGGTCGCATTCGCAGTCTGAGCTGTCCAAATCTGGGAGCACAGAGTCAAGTCCAGCATCTCACAATCACAGTTACAAAGCCAAAGCGAAGCAGACGACTGTTCCACCCAAAACCGTTGTTATGTGTTCCACTGATGAACTGAAACACACGGATAGTCCAGCTGGAGGACTTGATAAACCACATCCTCCGCATTAGCTGTTTTTATAATACACGTGGTAAATACTGGGTGATGATTACACAGACAAGTTTGTTAAGTTGCACATAATATTCACATGAAATAAGTAGTTTTTCAAAAACTGTATCCATTTAGCCCAGGACCAGACCGTATCTGCAACAAAAAAAAACAACTGGTGCCATTTTTCAAAGGCTACCAAGCATGGCAGATTCACTGGAGGGTGTCTGGTACCACACTATGGCTAAATGGACGCAGCGTTAAATTTGGTACGGTTGCAGTTGAGAAGTTTTCCAGCAGGTTCCATAACATTAGTGTCGACTGACTCTTTGTTATAAGACTGTTATTTACTCTCTGAATCTCTTTAAATGTAAATGTTTTTTAACATCTCACTCTGGTCTGGTGATAAGGAGGATTACTGAATTTCAAAATGTGTCCAAGTGTCCCGTATCCTTAGAGGCCTGGTTGTCCGTTTGGCCTTACAGTTTGGCAGCTGTCACTGACTGAATTTGGGGTGGGGTTTTTTTTTTCAGGTGTAAATTTCAAACATGGCTTAACGGGTTAAATTCTCATTCAAGACATAAAGCTGCCTAATAAACACTGATTTAGTGATTTGCAGTTGAAACGACAGCCGTGTTAAAACACAGCCACTCAAAAGATCCTTTTAATTCTTCATCCATGTTCAACCCAGTTTGAACCATTTTATACTTGAACTGTCTTTTGATTTGATTTGATACTAAAAGTTAAAAAACATCAAAGACAAACAAAAGGAGCTCATTGGATTGTCTATAAAATGAGCGATGCAGAAGTCAATGTCCAGAGTGGAATTCTCGTTACGGTAATAATGTGCTTTAAATGCAATTAAAACATATTTTTTACTTGCTTATTCTGTACATTTGTGTAAATATATGACCTGTCATTTTGGTTTTCACATTGTGTTAATATAAAAAAAATAAAAAATGAAGCCTTTCCAGACTGAAAACTGTAACTGATCACTATTGAACCTGCCAATGAGATCTGAAGCAAAGCGTTTACCACCTGTTTCACATTTTTGTTCATGTACCAAAGTTGCACTGTGGACTTGAAAGAGAAAACTCAGGATTTATTTTTCTTCTTCTTCTTTTTTTTAAATTCCAGCACTTAAAGTGTCTTCAGTAAACATAATCTGACATGTTGTCAACCAGATTATTCAGGTAAAATGTGTTGTTTTTTTTCCACAATTTAAATAAAGATGTTGTTCACATTTTCTGCAGTTGTCTCAATTTAGTAATCCTGTTTTAACATTTTCATTCATTGTAAAGCTGCTTTACAAATTGCCTAAATGTTCAAACCTATTCTCCAGAAATAGTAATTTCCTGTTTTATGAAATGCATTTTTATATCTTAGAAGTTCTCCAGTTTACTATCATGACTTGTGTGTTCAAAATTAGCATGATTCTACCAAATAAAACTAAAATTTATATCATTTGAACTAATAATGAAAAGAAAAGAAGATTATACTACAGATTATTTTGTGGATTTAATAAAAACAGACGCAATATCTCCTGTGTTTTAAATTCCAGTAAGAATATTAAAAACTAAAATCTGTTTTGCAGTTTTTTTAAATCATGGTTATTCCCTGCAAAGTCCTTTTTTTTTTCATACTCGAGCTGCTGGTGCTGTAATAAAAAGAAAGTCAGCTCTCTCAAGGGTACAATTGATCTGAAAAGCCCTCCCCCTGTGCTGGGCTCCTCTCAAACCTCTGTTGTGTGCATTTTCTCCTTGGCTGAGCGCAGCTTCAGACTGAAAGAACATCTCCACTGGCTCAAAAATGTGGAGGGGAGGTCAGCTGCAAAGTTTTACGGTCAGCACAAAACTTCCCTCCCTTCTCCAACGGCCGCCGAGAGTCGTACAGGGGGGGCCGGAGAGAGAGGCGCCTTCAGCACAAATAGGAAAGGAGGGGTATTCTCCTGTCAACAACATCCTGCCTCACCCGCTCACACTCCTCACCTTCAGGCCTGTGTGACAGAAAAGAAAGTGCATGGCCACCGAAAGCAGCCATCTCACACCTCACACCGCGCACGCCAACTCGAAGACGATTACAAATGATTTAATATTCCGACCTCACGGTGTCAAGAAGAGGCGACGCGCTTTTTTCGCGTCAGGTGGGATCTCTAAATTAAACATTATCCGTTGCACGACACAGTGTCAAAGCAACGCGGTGCATCAAGGGTAACATATTCCTAGATGCTGGAGGAATGCTCTCTGGTACTCTAAATCTCCTCTGAAAGTAAGTGCTGAGATAAAAATGTCAACACAGATGGCTTAAAGAGATGAGATAGTCATCTGTAGCATACATTATGAATAATTCACCTAACAGGAGTACCATCTAAAAGCCCGTGTTCCCTGTGAATAAAGCACTACCGCGTATCTTGCTGTTAGGGCGAAGATACAGAAAAGGTGTGCAGACGTCTCAGGAGTCACATGAATCTGAGCGTCAAACCATAAAAATATAACAAGAGAGCACACGCTGATGATTCTGTGTAAATGACGACGTTACATTGGGGTAAAATAAATGCACTCCAGATTACCTTGAATGGAAGACGGTGAATTATTTACTGTGACGCCAAACAATAAATGCAAAGGACTCGCATGACAAGTTTTATAGCTGATGAGGGAAGAGGTTTAAGTCTCATTTGTGCACTTCATGGGTTGTTTTTCAGAAAGCAAATTGATGTAAAACACGTACAAATTGTTAAAGCCACGACTAATAATGTGATCTGCACAAACAAAGAGGTCCCATTGAGCAACACAATAAAAGACATGGAGCTTGTTTGGGAAATGAACTACACAGCTGAAAGGCCTCTGAAGCCATCTAGTGGATCACAACTGCAAAAACACCTCCAACCTCTTCATCCTTCCATCCACCGCTTAATCCTCACTAGGGTCACAGGGGGGCTGGAGTCTATCCCAGCTGACTCAGGGTGAAGGCAGAGGACACCCTGGACAGGTCACCAGTCTATCACAGGGCTACAGACAACAAGCACACTCACATTCACACCTACGGACAATTTAGAATCACCAGTTAACCTCAACATGTTTTTGGACCTTGTGGGAGGAAGAGAAGAACCCAGAGAGAACCCACGCTACACGGGGAGAACATGCAAAAGCCACGCAGAAAGATCCCGGGTGTCCTCACCGGAATGTGAACCGGGGATCTTCTTGCTGCGAGGCAACAGTGCTACCCACCACCCCACCCTCTTCATATTTCGTCAAAAACTGGGACTGACATGCCATTCTACTGAATTAATTAAAGAATAATAAATGATTCTGGTTTCATTTTAGCATTGGGTTTACACCTTTATAGTTCTGACAGCAATTAGAAATGTACCTTAAAAGCACCAGAGCATCTTCCACAATACAGGAAACTAAAACCAGTCGTGTGTAAAAGATTTGAAAGATTTACCCTGAAAACATTAACAAATAAAACCCAGTGGTGGCTACAAGTGTATATATACTTAACTGAGTGGTGATGGCAATGAATGCATCAAATCATTCTTCTTCATCAGAAACTTAATCAGGATTTAATGTACTCGTTTTGAAAATGTATGTGCATCTCTGAAATAACTAAAGTAATTTAGTTAGCTATACAAACATGTTACACAACTAGGAAACGTGACCGTAAAATGCTGCACTTATGAAATATTATAAACATGACGAGCCGGAATCTCTGGATTCTGAACCAGACGACCTGCATTCACGCCTCAGCACAAACATCAGCCAGACACACAGCTTCTACCTTCTACAGCTACATCTGCTGCCTGTCAGAAGAACATTCATATTCAAGCTAATTGTTATTTATTCACATTTCACAGTTTTGAATACTACTTGAAAAGTACTATTACCATTTAAAGCAGCAACTTTATTAATAGGAACACACATCAAGTTTCCTCAGTAACACTGAATATTAAAATGGATATTTACTTTGGTGAAAATCCAGTTTACCGTGTCAATATGGTGTTATTTATACACTAGAAGATATTTCACAAGTGAAAAAGGCAGTTAGATTGCAACACCATGGCTGAGCATTTCTACCTTGAAACTACAGCGCACTGATGAGAGTCTCAAAACTACAGATTCAGACTTTTGCGGGTTTATATATTGTCAAACTTCTGAACCAATCCAGTGAACTTGTAAAGAGGGACTTTCTGTTTCATTATTCTTCTTCAGAATCAGTTTCTTGTTCAAATTTAGATGCCTACATTACTCCAATATAAAACTTGCCTTTGTGTGTCATAGAGTGGTTTTACAGTGTTTGAACAGAGTTGAAGGTGAGCTGGTGTACTCGGGCTGCAGCGAGTGGGACGAGGTGAGTAAACAGAGGCAGGGACTTCATAGAGCTGCACCTTCTGAAGGGGGCAACAGCTGCATCTAAGAATGTTAAGGCAGGAAAGGGTAATATTCATGGGAAAAATATCTAAATATGTGCCTTTGATATACAGCGATGAGCTAAAGAGGTTTAAAAACCAATCAGAGGGGGACTTTAATGACCTTTGGGGACTGTCTTTAGAAACAATAAGAAGGCTGCACAATAACATCAGTATTTTTGCAAGTCATCTTTGTAACCTAGTTTTCAGGCTGCATGCCAGCAAAAAAAAATGCTTCAAATTTGTGATAAGCTGAAGCTCTGGTGCAATGCTTGAAATGCCAGTTTTCCTGTTCAAAGGTCAAGAAACTGCATCTGAAATCACATCTCTGTTGGGTATAAACATATATTTTCTGTATAATATGATCCATGATCATAGTGCACTTGAGACTGAACATAATCCTAAACACTTCGGCTGCTTGCACTAATGATGTTTGACAGGACAGGGGAGGGTGTTTACAGAAGCTGAGTGAGTAAAGGTGCAAACTCACAGGCTGCTTACTTTGTTGTCATCCCGCCCGAGGTGTAGATTTAAGAGCGGTCTAAGTGTGTTTACAACCGGCTCCGACTACAAACTGTTCACTCGGGGCTCCAAAGACCTTTAAAGCTTTTCTCACTTGCAAAATACCGGCTCCGTTCCAGACATCTGCACGTGCGGCACATGCGGAACTTGCATGATGACGAACCGCCCCTTCCGGGTCCCACCTCCTGGCTGAGCCAGCCTCACCCCGCCCACTGAGATTCCTGAACGCTGATTGGTTCTCTGCGAATGACCCCTTCCTAGATCTAGTCGCAATAGATAGAAACTGTTCACGGTACATCTTCACTAATAATATGGCCATGGAGAATTTGCTTATCATCCCTAGACTGGATGAGCAGCCTAATTATAAAGCTTCACATTCAAAGACACAATAGCAAAAGAACAAACAACACGATGGCCCTCAAGGAAGTGGATGTTGAAATTACAACCTTCTTGTTTGCATATGCAAAAATTAAACAATATTATCATAATCAAACATTAGTGAACTGCTGCTTCTTTTTAACCTCAGGGTCAGTGAGTTCTCGTTTTTCCAGTGTGTTAGCTGTGTAAACGTTTTACATTCGTTTATAATTTCACTGAGATACTATTAATGGAAACTCTTTAAAATATAATATAATATAATTAAAATGGCTTCATTGATAAGTTTCAAGGTGCTGCACAAAAAAGCACGGAAACAAAACACCAAACATAAAACAGCAGAAACAAAAGCAAAAAAGGAAAGAAAGGAGAAAGAGACCGACATAGTCAATAGTAAAATATAGAAAGAATAAAAGGCCAGAGTAAAATATACAAGAATAAATTAAAACAATCACAGTCAAACTAAGTAGAAGAAGGCCTTATAACAACAATGATAATAATAATATTAATAGTAGAAAGTTTCCAGTATTTTTTAAAACAAGACAACACTGATGGTACAATTCTTTTGGAGAGATTTTCGTAAGTCACATGTAAATGTCGACCATCTGTGGTCACAAGAAGAGATCCAGGAGCTGTCACAGTTCCTGCCATGTGACTCATTTGGATGTAAAGGACCACAT